CTTTTTCATCTGTGAGAAGATTGTCCAGCATTATGTGCCATATAGAATGATGCAATAACCACTTTAAATAAACCGCCCCAGTGAATGAATTTACTATTTTCTATTAAACAGGATTTTTCAATTATGAATAATTTTTCTGCTTTTAAGGTTTACCTGATCCGCCATTGGACGTTCAGGTAGAAGTTGGACCCCAAGAGGGCACCATCCTTCTTACGTGGTTACCTGTCACTATTAACAGATCAGGTATATCTCCGTCAGGTGTTATCAAGGGTTATTCTGTTTATGCAGATGACAAACTCATTAAAAATGTCATCGGTCCAATAAGTAAGTATTTTTGTTTTTGAATTTTCTTTGTTTTTTCTCCTTTTCAATGTGTTTTCTTTTTCTAATATAGTTTTATTTTATTAGTAATTTTTACATTAATTCCTGACAATCCCTTTCTTCCTGATTTTCAATGCATTCCTATAGTAAATCATTAGTAATGAATTTACATTCTACATATAATAGCCCTCTTCTCTCAGTACTGCTTGCATTAATTCCTGACCACTGACAATCCCTTTCTTTCTGATTTTCAATGCATTCCTATAGTAAATCATTAGTAATGAATTTACATGCTACATATAATAGCCCTCTTCTCTCAGTACTGCTTGCATTAATTCCTGACCACTGACAATCCCTTTCTACCTGATTTTCAATGCATTCCTATAGTAAATCATTAGTAATGAATTTACATTCTACATATAATAGCTCTTTTCTCACAGTACTGCTAGCATTAATTCCTGACCACTGACAATCCCTTTCTTTCTGATTTTCAATGCATTCCTATAGTAAATCCTTTACATTCTACATATAATAGCACTCTTCTCTCAGTACTGCTGGCATTAATTCCTGACCACTGACAATCCCTTTCTTCCTGATTTTCAATGCATTCCTATAGTAAATCATTAGTAATGAATTTATATTCTACATATAACAGCCCTCTTTTCACAGTACTGCTTGCATTGATTCCTGACCACTGACAATCCCTTTCTTTCAGATTTTCAATGCATTCCTATAGCAAATCATTAATAATGAATTTAAATTCTACATATAAGAACCTTCTTCTATCAGTAATGTTTGCATTAATTCCTGACCACTGACAATCCCTTTCTTCTTTATTTTCAATGTATTTCTATAGTCAGATCATTATATATTTTGTTTGTAATTATTTTTTTTAAGAGGGTAGAAAATCTTTTTAAATATGTCAAAACATTTTGTGAAATGTTTTTTTGTAATTGTAGGTATTTACTCCTATTTGTTGTTTTAAATTCTTTTTTTCTGCTATTTATATCTTTTATTTTGTAGATGACCATGTTCTCCTGAACAGTGCCAACTTCTCTGGTTTTATACCACAGCGTTTAACTGTACGAACATTGGGTGACCACAATGAAGAGTCTGTCGACTCTCAAGGTGTCATCCTTCCGCCTAGTTTACTTAAAGAGATGGCAGCAACCACTGCCAAAAATATTGCTTATGAAGCTGTGGCGGCGAGAAAGGTAAGAAAAAATTTGTTTGTGTTTTTGTTTGTTTGCTTATGAAAACTAGGATTTGAACCAGTGTCTAATTTTGTGGAATTTTATCAAATCTCTTGTGTGTTACAAGAATTGGACCAAAAATTTCCTCACAATAAATTCTCTTGAATAAAATCCATGTTCATTCATATTTATTCATTCATTTATTCATTTATATTTATTCATATTCATTCATTTATTCATTTTTATTCTTTCATTTATATTCATATTTATTCATTTATTCATTCATTTATATTTATTCATATTCATTCATTTATTTATATTCATTTATATTTATTCATTCATATTCATTCATTTATTCTTTCATATTTATTCATATTTATTTATTCATTTATATTTATTCATATTTATTTATTCATATTTATTTTATTTATTCATTCATTCATATTCATATTTATTCATATTTATTCATTCATTTATATTCATATTTATTCATTTTTCATATTTATTCATTTATTCATTCATTTATATTCATATTTATTCATTCATATTCATTTATATTTATTCATTCATATTCATTTATATTTATTCATTCATTTATATTTATTCATTCATATTCATACATTCATATTTATTTATTCATATTTATTCATTCATATTCATTCATTTATATTTATTCATATTTATTCATTCATTTATATTCATATTTATTCATTTATACTTATTCATATTTATTCATTCATATTTATTCATTTATATTTATTCATATTTATTAACTTCATCTGAAACAGTTTCTGCATGTAAAGAATAAAAATAACACCTTCAAAACAATCTACCACAAAGGCAATCTGTATTTGATTAATGAATAGACTTAAAAATACAACATCAAACAGAAACTGTTTTTATTAATAAGTCTTTCATTATTTTTTAGCTTTTTTTTCATGGAAACCTACTGGACCCTATTAATAACATACTTGTTGACAACACAAATATAATAGCATCATCTGCATGCAAAAAAAGGCTAAAAATAATGGAAGCCTTTTTAATAAAAACAAAAAAAACAACACTCAATAATATTAACTATGAACATGGACACAATATCTTGACTGTGTTTTGAAAAATGAAATCATTATATAAATACATGCAACAAACTATTACTTGTTAATACATTTCAAAATTTGAAAATGGCTAAATGTATTGCCGAAAACGCTCAGATTAAAAGAACATTCAGGCTGTTTTTATATAATTAATCATTTGAAAAGAAAAAATTATTAGATCACATGGAAAATTGTATAAAAAAATTAAATCAAAGTACCTTGTTTGTCTTATTCAATGAAATGTGCATGAAAGAAGGATTGGATTTTTCTGAAAAATACATCTTATGTTATTAAATATAGCAATGAAGTAATTTCTCCCTTTTTATATATCTGTCAAAGAAAGTTTAAATTTTTACACCTGAACTTTCAATGTATAACACTAAACTATGCCGGTCACTATTACAAAACCATAGGTAGTGGATCACTACCACTAAACTATGTGGTGGGATGCTACATCTGAACAGTAGGCTACTAGATGGTTCCCCTAAGATGTAAGCTATTAAGGGGTTCCTCTAAACTGTGGTCTGCTGGCAGGTTCATCAGAACCGTGGTCTGCTGGCAGGTTCGTCTGAACCGTTGTCTGCTGGCAGGTTCATCTGAACCGTGGGCTGCAGGCAGGTTCATCCGAACCGTTGTCTGCTGGCAGGTTCATCCGAACTGTTGTCTGCTGACTGTTTCCTTGAAAAACCATGGTCTGAGGCTTACATCAGGTGCTTCTTCCTCAGAATAATGAATTGAAAAGCATCTGAGGAAGGCTGCAGAGCCCAACAGGCAAAATGTGATAACAAAGACGAGAACAATGATAGTCTGATTGTAAGTAATATAAATAATGCATTTCAATAGTAAAATAAAATATCCAGTAATATTTCTGTAATTAAAAATAATGTGCAATTCATTTCTCTAGTAAAATAAAAGAATCCACTACTAGGACTTAAACACAACCACACACTATAGTACTAATATTAAATGTAAGGTTTTAGTTGGATTTAATATGCTGTCAAATGTGACAATTCATTTAACATTGATTTTTAATTTGTAAAGGTACAAAATTTCTGGTCACTGATCAGATATTTTTTTTCATTTTTAAATTTTTTTTGTATGCCAAATATAAGCTTTTTTTCACAGCCTTTTATGAAGCATTTTCAGCTTTTTTCACTAGTTTGTTTTCCTACCTTCCTCATATACTAGGAATTTTTCAAGGAATAATTATTTTGCTCATATCTTTTTTTCTAAATTATTATCCAGAATTCAAATTAGAAAAATTGAATACAGATCTACACAATTTCTGCACAATTTCAAGTATTAGACCAGATTTTGTTACTGAGATCTGTGAATAGTTCAGACTCAAGTACTAATTAAAATTAGTGATAAAGAAAAATGTAAAGCCTTGATACTGTTAAAAGATTTTTACATTCAGCAGGCCCCTGAGGAAGGATGGAAAACATCTAATTCATGGAATAATGAAAATTCTTTATCTACAAACTTTACATGAATCTTATTTTTTTTTTACTGTTTTGAACTTTGTGTAATCTCAAATTTTCCTTTTTATCTGACTTCATATTTTGAATGAAATACAAATCTTATATACAAATGAAAATCTTTTCTTTCAAATTTATATAACATAAAGACATTTTAAAAGGATCTCCCTTTAAAAGGTTTTGTAAGGTAGATGGGAAGAAAGGACATTAAATCTCTTATCCTTTCATTTACAGGTATTTAATGTTGCTAACAAAAAAGACAAGATTCTTTCTCTGGCATGAAATTTGAAAGAAACATATATTTAATAAATGATAAAACAGAATACAAAATTTACAAAACAAGCTTGCACAAAACTCTTCTTTGTGCACCAAACACTTAGGCAAGATAATAATTCTAAATACAATTATTTTTGGGCTCATATAACTATCATATAATTATTGTGCTTGTTCCTTCCTTCATTAGTTCTCCTGATTATTACATCCTGCCAACACCTCATAAATAATGGACTATTCTGTTTTGATCACTTTGTTCAAATGACATTAAAGACACTACTTGGTTTCAGTAAGAAAATGAAAGAAATAAAGGAAGATAGAAGTGTTTAACATCTGCTTCAGTGAAATGAAAGAAGTTGTCAGTTTCAAATCTTTTCATTTGTACCCCCTTACTTCTTTAAATTATGACAAGCATTGATATTTACGATTGTTACTATATTTTGTTAAAGTCGTTAAGCTCAAATATTTAACTATGTAATAAGGGAATTTCTATGCATATTTATTGCTTATTCAATCATTGACTAAATATTTAAGATTCATCAGAAATTTAAAATAGGAAAACTGAAATTTTCGCAGGTTAAAACTAGTTATAATCATTGTCAACAAAATGTTCACTTACTTTGATACATTTGGGTGTCAAAAAAAAAAACTTGTCAACAGACTTTTTCTCAGGTATCACAGGGCTTCTGATTTGTTTTCTTTTCTAACAATTGTTCAGTTTCACAGATTCTAAAATGATATAAATCTTGTATTTTCAGAATAAATTCATAATCAGTGTTAATACTTCAAAAACACATTCACTACTAGAACAATTACCATGAAAGTGACTGAAGGTGAGATGCCAGGTCAGGACCAATAACATTGCAAATTCTTATTTGAATTTTATCAAGAATCTCTAAATATATAGCAGAAGTACCAGACCAGATGTGGCAATAATATTCATTGCATGGACAAATGGTAGACTTATAAAAGTTTAAGATAGATTCTGGCAAGGAAAATATGTATAGCATGACCATGAACCAACTTTCCTAGCATTTGATTCAATATAAATTTTTCACTTCATGTCAGCAGAAAACATCAGCTTGAGAAGGTTACTGATGTTTAGACAGAGGATATTAGGTATATTTCAAACATACGATATATTGTATGGCTAAGGTTCCCGAGTAACCTTTAAGGTTTGATTTTATACAAATAAAAACTCAAAGAAGGGCAAAGCAAGAATCTGGAAGGAAGTTCCACAAGTGAGAAGTGCAAAAGAAAGTGTTAACATAGAAGTTTCAACTGTAAAACAGTGGGACCTAGCTGCCAATCTAGTACTGCACTTAAATTTGTTAAGTTGAGGTACCAAAGAGGAAAGTTCATCAGAACAATTACCATGAAAATATTAATAGGAAAGGTACAGTGAAGCTATGTTAAAAAGTTGGAAACTAACTGAAGCCAAGATGCCAGGTCAGGACCAATAACATTGCAAATTCTTATTTGGATTTTATCAAGAATCTCTAAATATATAGCAGAAGCACCAGACCAGATGTGGCAATAATATTCATTGCATGGATGAATGGTAGATTTATAAATGTTTAAGATAGATTCTGACAAGAAAAAAGTATGTAGCATGATAGTGAACCAACTTTCCGAGCAGGAGACCTAGCATTTGATTCAATATAATCTTTCCATTTCATGTCAGTGGAAAATATTAGCCTGAGAATCTGTAACTATATAGCAGTGACGGCAATATTCAAAGCATAGATGAATGATAGACTTATAAATATTTAAGATAGATTCTGATGAGAAAAATTGACACAGTAAATCTACTTTCCTAGCAGAATACCTAGCAACTGCTTCAATATAGTAGGGTATATCCCAAATCCCCAAACTGTACACCCCTAAAAGGTTTTCTAAACCAGGTTTCATAATATTTTGGTAAATCCTGAATTGCATTGACAAGTCCATTGTCTGACAGGCAGTTATTAACAGAATTCTGATTTAAAATTTTCTCACTATAATGTTCAGTGTAAACAAGTGATATTTTCTTCTTCTTTATGTGCCAACTCCCTCAGGGCATAGGCGATCATGGCTCTCCACAATTTCCTGTTCTTTGTAGGTCTTAATAAATTTTGTCATTTCTCCTAAACCCTGTTCCACCATCCATTTACTTAAGCTCATTAAGTGTGTTATG